GAGATCAACACCGTAAGAGGGAAAGTGAGAAATAACTCCTCAGTGAGTTGGCCACACCACAATCCCTTCTCCTCCATGCTCCTCCCAGGATCTTGGATGTGATGCACATGCACCCATGGCATGATTTTCAAGCCACCAGCTTCAGGATTCAAACTATGGTCAGCCATGTGGGAGCCCAGTGACATAACCACTATGCTTTCTGCTGGTCCCAAGGTTAATAATCTTAATTTTTCTTTCTCTGACATGCCATATTTAATCCATCAGCAAATACTCTTAAAAGGAAACCAGAATGCATCACTCTCACCTCTATTTCATCACTTTCAAGGCCAAGCCATTATAATTTCTTGACTGCTAAATTATAATAACCTCCCAGTTGTTCTTCCTGCTTCTGCCTTACTACCTCACTCTACTCTCAGTCTCATCTACAATGTATATCTGGAATAATCCTTTTAAAATTCTATCAAGTTTTATCTCTTATGTGTTCAAAACTCTCAGAGAAAAAGCCAATGGCCTTACAAAGGCCAGTGGCTTGTAGGATCTAGCCTCCACTATGACACTCCCCTATCTGAATCACTCCTGGCCTTTGTGCTGTTCTTTAAACAGCCAAGCACACTTCCATCTCAGAGAGAACTTTGGAACTTATCCTTTCCTCTGCTGCATATGCATGCTACTGTATGACTTACTCTCGTATTTCATATTTCTGCTAAGTATCTCCTTGTAAGAGTCTCCTTCCCTGACCACCCTATATAAACTATCAGCTGCCTCCACTCTCAGTCCCTCTCTAGTACCCTTCTCTGATCTGTATTTCAGTTAGCACTTAGCATTGTCCAACACATTGTCCAACATGTGTGTGTGTGTGTGTGTGTGTGTGTGTGTGATATATATATTTGCTTGTTATGTCTCTTTCCAATCTATAATGTTAGAATGTAATCTCCATTAAGGCAGAGACTTGTCTTCATTTGTTGGTTTATTTCTAGTGCCTGTAACAATACTCGTTGCATAGTAGATATTCAATAAATAATGAATGAGCAAGAGAATGAATATGTAAATCTATAAGAGAGCCGTAAATTGTAGTATATCCTTCTAAGGAGATTTTATGAAACCATTAAAAAGAGTTAGAAAGAATTTTCAGACATAAGAGGAAATCTTATGCAATAATATTAAGTAGAAAGGGGAGAAAAGCAGAAGAAATGAAACTACAATTATTCTGACCATGAAAATAAGCCAGCAGAGACCAGATGGCAGCACAATGGTAAAATCCAATGCTCTGCAAGGGAATCTCACATGGGATAGTTCATGGTTCAAGTTTGGAGATCTCCCTGAGGACACTGGAAATGCATTTACTCATGAACCAGGGCTGGCTGAAGGCTGAGGGTGAATTTAGGTATCTGGATCTTATTGATGGTTCTCTCTCTCTCTTTCAAAAGAAATAGATACTTTTTTTGAGAGAGAGAGAGAGAGACGTTTTTGCTATAGGGAGCATGTGCTCACCAGAGAGACAGAAAGCAAGAAACTACCCACCCCGCTTCCCAGGGGTATGGCCACGCAGCAATCGCTTCTCCTCCATTCTCCTTTGGGGACTTGGGCATGCACACACATGCACCCAGTGTGAGAGTTTTTGTTTGTTTGTTTGTTTGTTTGTTTGAGAGGTTTTTGCTATACGGCGCATGTGCTCGCCAGAAAGCCAGACAGAGACAGAGAGACAGAAAATGAGAAATCATCCCCCAAGGGGGATGGCCACGCTGCAATCCCTTCTCCTCCATTATTCTCTTGGGATCTTGGGCACGCACACACATGTGCCCGGCGTGAGTTTAAGCCACCAGGTCCAGGACTCAAACTGCTGTCAGCTACATGGGAGTTCAGTGACATAACCATTACGCTAACTGCTGGACCCCCCCCCCCCCACCAACCAACACACACACAGTGTGAGTTTTAAGCTGCAAAGTCTGGGACTCGAATCCCGGTCGACTATGTGGGAGTCCAGAAACATAACCATTATGCCATCTGCTGGTCCCAAAATAGATACTTTTTTAAAAAAATCTTTTTAAAAAGAAAGAGAGAGAAAGGAAGGAAGGCGAGAGGAAGGAAGGAAGGAAGGAAGGAAGGAAGGAAGGAAGGAAGGAAGGAAGGAAAGAAGGAAAAGAAGGAGAAAGAAAAAGAAAGAGAAAAAGAAAGAGGAAAAGAAAGAAAGAAAGAAAAAGGAAAGAGAAAAGGGAGGGAGGGAGAGAGAGAGAAAGAAAGAGAGAGCGAGAGAAAGAAAGAAAAAGAAAGGAAGGAAGGAAGGAAGGAAGGAAGGAAAAAGAAAATAAGCTCGTATTGAGGGGAAATAAATATGGAAGGAAATAGCCTAAGATATTTATGATAGTATTTGGCACTATATATCTGGCCCCTTAGTTCTTCTGATTGTGTGCAAAGAAGCCTGGAAGGATTAAGGCAGGTCATCTGATGCAGGCATCCTATTGCCCCGACAAACTGCAGAAACCAAAAGTGTGATAAACTTCCTTTACCAGGGAGAGAGAGTCAAGGAGAAGTTAATGTAACTGTAAAATGTATCCCACATCCATAGATGTCATTCTGAGGGGAAAGGTGAGTTTGGCACAGGAGAGAAACTGAGAATGATATAATAAAATTTTGCCTCTTCTAGCATGTTTGTCATCATTTCAAGGACTTAACAAAATTTTAGGGCTCACCTATATCTTCTCTGAACCTCAGAGCAGTTCCCCAGCTTCTATAATATATTTGTCTAAGCCTCAAGATGTAACTCAGGTTTGAAAAAATCCCCTTGAGTCTCCCTTGACATGAGACCAATTTTCAGGCATCCCCTGCATGAGCCACAAATGTGCTGAAATGTATTGGGTGAAAAAAATATCAACCCATCAATCCATTAAACATGAATAAGTACCCTGTCTTCCAAAATATACAAAGGGGCAGAAGACACAAACTTGTCTTCAGAAAGCTTGCAATTTATTTGAGTAGGTAAAACACAGAAGTAAAAATACACGCAGGTACTGCCAAGTGAGACATAAAGACTAAGGGCAACAGAAATCCTGAGAAGGGAACAGTGAGAAGGTCAGGGTCAAGACTTTCCAAAAAGCTGGAATATTAGCTGGTGCACAAAGGTGAGTTGGACTTAGATGAATGGAGAAGAGTAGGAGAAGAGATTCCAATAGATGAGGGGAAACCAAAATGGGTAAGCAATGAAGAGCATACCTGGGCCCAGAAATAGACTTTTTTCCCAAGAACATTTTGAGTAAAGGATTTTAATCAGAATTGTAGCAACCAATTAATTTTATCTAGTTATATAAGTGTTTTGTCAGTAGTGTGAAATCATAAATAATATTTTTCATGTTTTATTTAAATATTTTTCTTATAGGTTATTTATTTTCCTTGAATAATTTTAAATAAAGTTAGATTTACCAATCAGCTTTTGTGAGCTATTATTTCTTCTAAGTCTGATATACTCAGGTCATATTTTACAGATAAAAAAAAAATCTATCAATAATATTTTGTTCTTCTGTTGACTTTTAGTGAATAAAACATTTTAACAAGTGCCATTTTAGCCATTGCCAGTGTTTATCCTCTTGATTACAAGAAGATCTAACTTTGCCAGAATTCCAATTGTAGAATTATGACTACAGAGTTAACCAATTATATGTTAGAAATTATTTTTACTTATGATAATTTTCCATGTTATGTTTGGCCACTATTTTATTTTGCATTATGATCTGTTACAAATTATTAAAAAGGTTTAATTTGTACTTATTTCTTAGCTTAAACCTGAGATAACCTATGAATTCTTTGTCAAAATTGCAGTGCAAATTCACAAATATGTCATACTGCAAATCTAATTCTTCAAAATACTTCTGATCCCTTTGTATATTCCAAAATAAACACCCATGGCACTAACAGAGTAAAAACATGGTTGCACATAATGGAAACTGAGTCTGGCTGATTTAAAAGAAAGTCATTCATTACAAAGCCATGAGATAACTCACAGAATTCCAGGGAAGACTTGAGAACCAAACATCGTGGAGCAATGGTTAGGAACAGTCAGCAGAACCAGTCCCGTCTGGCTACCCCAGCAGCCAGAGGTACCAGGCCCCCGACTCACTTGGCTGATGCTCCTGGCCTTGGACACTGGATGGACCCTCCAGCACCACTGCCTCTTTTGTGCCAGAAGCCAGACTAACTGCAAGTGCCACCATCACTAGGGAAAAGTGGTACTTGTTTCTTTGCACCCCTAGCTCTCAGGAGCCTGGTGAGAGTCTCAGTGGTGAAGGACAGGGCACATGTCTGCTACTCTTGCTGCAAGACATGCTGGGGAAGTGAAAAGAAGTAACTCTCTCCAGGGTGATAAAGATGGAGAAATCCCCATCACATAGCTTCATATTCTGGGCTAGCAAAAAGAAGAGCAAATGCCCGCTAGAGGATCAGAAAGCAGAGAAAAAAGATCCTGCCTGTTCAGCAGAATATCAGGTATTGGCAGTCCACAAATCCTGGACCTTAACCTGGGGGCCATTCCCCATAGAACTAAAGTATTCTCTTCTCTGTGTCCCTTCCCATTCAGCTCATCATCAATGTAGAGGTTCAGTAGTAGGCAAGTTAGAAGAGTAACTGAATTATCTTAGGCAGAAGTGGAAACCTATCTCACAGTAATTTATAGCAAATGCTATAATCGAAATGTTTTTCTCTGTTATCTAGTGAATATTCTGCAACTTAATAACATGGAGAATGATTACATTTGCACTGCTGGTAGATAAGTTGAGGCTTTACAATTTCAGTGGGTCAATGCAAATATACACACACACACACAAACACACATATATATATATATGCATACAATGTATGTATATATATACATATATACATATAATATATTGGGTTGTTGGGGAGATCATGATGTGTTTTCCTACATAAAAATGCACTATAACCTTTTTAACAACTACATATATGTGTGTGTGTGTGTGTGTGTGTGTGTGTGTGTGTATTTGAAGTCAGAATGTTTCTCTAAAGAATTTTTTAAACAGTTCTCATTTAGGTATTTATTATTTTGTGTGGATGTTAAAAATCACATATCTTGATTTAAACTTGATTTAACATTGTACAATCTCTTTAATCTTAAGGACAGTTTGATATTAAGTGTAACCTGAAGTGTTTTATGTATGATATAGATATGGCAAATAAAACATCTTTATTCTAAGTAATTTCCATGGCAGCACTCAAGTCACAGAATATGTTTTGTACAACTCGAAGATTACAGAAGGCTAAACTCAGAGCTGTTCGTTGTCCCACTGAAGTGATAGAATACAATATGCTGTTCTAAGTCTCCAGAATACTCCGGTAGTGATTAAAGATGCTGTTTTATTGTAGTCATAGCTTTCCAAACGATTTATTATGTCACAGGTGAAGGTTCCTTCTGGATGTGTAGAGCTCTTAACTCCTTCCCTCTGTCCCTTTGAGATAACCTGTAGTTTAGCCACTGCTTGGGCATGTTTCTCATCCTATCTCCCCTCCTTCAGGTCTCTGAACACACCTATTTCTGTCTCCAACATCTGGCTATAATGTTCTCATTGCCGCTTAGGCAGAAGAGTGAGCCAAGGCCTATAGGACCTCAAAAAAGGAGAGTGGTGTTCTCCTTCCAGATTTGGGAGTCTTCCCAAGCTTTCCACAAGCTTAGTGGCTCACCTCATAATTCTACTGAACGTCAGTTTGTTGCACTTGGCTCTCAAAATAAGATTAGAACTGAGAATCTTTACAGTGTTAATTCAGCATCACCAACCACTATGACATCTATCATTCTACTTGAGTTTTCTTTCAGAAACTACTTAATGAGAGTGTTTATCTTAACTCTGTATTTCCCAAACAGCACTATTAATCAGACCCATCTCCATATCCACTGTGAGTGAGACAAGCATAGTTCAGGCCCTCAGGCTTGCCAGGAGGGCAGTAAGCCACTTGTTTTTCTTGGCAGAAATCTTTGTCTGCATGTTGCTTCTTCTCTTCTTTTCTTAGACCACAAGATTCAGATTCCTTGGAGCCCAGAGGACCCTCAGAACTTTCTTCGCCTTGGCTGCTTTCTGTAGCAAGTACCATATAGTTTAGCCCTTCTTGGTTCTTGGCTTCCATTAAAGCAATTGGTGTAACACCATCTGAATTTGAACAAATCACATTGGCATCTTCGCCTGTGGAAAACATGGATATTATTCTATCATCTATTTAATTTCCTTTCTTTATAATAATATACAAGCTCTTTGAGAATTACCATTGTAACTTTATATATTTGTTCAGAAAATATTCATGACGGCTGCTAAGCACTGGCAATACAAAAGGTAAATAAGACATGTTCCTTGTCCTCGAGGCTGTTGCTGTCAATTAGGGAAGTAGATAGATCACTACAGAAGGTGACATGCACTTTAATAAAGAAATATATATGTACTCATGAGAGTACAATGGTAATTAATACTGCTTAACATGTGGGGTGGGTAACCGTTTTTGTGATCAGGATTAGGTGGCCTTACGATGGTTCTTTTTGTCTTAAATTATTACGGTTTACTCTGCCACTAAAGGTAGTTGAAATAACAAAGACTCAGCCACTCCTCTAGATTCAATAACTTTATCACATATGAAGATAATACTCGTTGAATATCTAGCACCTGTCAGACTGTGCTCTAGATATTGATACAATGAACAAAACAGAGTGATGTTCTTTGAAGGTGACATTCTAAAGGGGGAATATGGATGATAAACTAGTAGACAACCAAGTCTATGCCAGCTGGTGATAAGCATTATGGAGAAGAATTTGACACAGAAAGGGGCAAGAGAATAATGGTGGTA